TGAGGTGGAATCTTGCTCTGTCGCCCAGGCTGGAGTGCAATGGCATGATCTCTGCTCACTGCAACCTCTGTCTCCTGAGTTCAAGCGACTCTTCTGCCCCAGCCTCCCCAGTAGCTGGGATTACAGGCACTCGCCACCACGCTCGGGTACTTTTTGTATTTTTAGTAGAAACAGGATTTCATCATGTTGGCCTGGCTGGTCTTGAACTCCTGACTTCAAGCAATCAAAGTGTTGGGACTTGGCCTCCCAAAAGTGCTGGGATTATAGGCGTGAGCCATCCCACCTGGCCTGGGTTACTTTTATAGCCCTCCTGTTTCCCTTTCAAAAAATAAAACCTGATGGCTACATTTTCAGTGCTAAGTGGGGAGTCATCAAATGGAGCCAGCCTGATTTGGAGTCTGAATGTAATTCCTCTTCACTAAAAGAGGCGGTGTCTTCACATATGAGGTCTAGCTCCTGCCACGGGCATCTGGACAGGCAGCTCGGGAGTCATCTGGCTGTTTCCCATCTGGAAACTAAGTTCAAAAACGCCACCTAAATACCTTGGGGACACATGAGGATGCAGGTCGTAGTTGCCCATTTCAGATGCACGCGTTTGGGTCCAAACTCATGGGTCCTGTGTTCTGTCCACACCCCTGTCACCCCAGGCTTCTCTATCTGAGATGTGCAAAGAAATCCAGACAGGACCAGTCGCCACTATGTGCTGCGTGCTGCCTCCTGACCAGTCTGTGCGACACCGTGGGGGCCATTCTGGCCAGACAGCTCACAATCCAGGTATGTTGGGCCGACAGCTGACGGTGGCTTAGGCCAGCAGAGGGCTGACCTCGCTCCCTGCTGCAGCCATGTGGCATCTGTCTTGTTGCTTCAACGTGCGTAGCACAATGTCGTCTCAGAACCTGTGCCTTTGCTGTTCTTTCTGCCCCCCTCCGAGGCTCTTGTTTCCGATATCCGCTTGGCTCCCTGCTTAGTCCTTCAAGTCCTTGCTCAAAAGTCACCTTCTTATGGCCAGGTGGGGTGGCTTAGGCCTGTAATCCCAGCACTTTGGGAGGCTGAGGCGGGTGAATCACTTGAGGTCGGGAGTTGGAGACCCTGTCTCTACTAAAAACAAAATTAACCGGGCGTGGTGCATGCCTGTGATCCCAGCTACTGGGGAGGCTGAGGCAGGGAGAATCACTAGAACCTGGGAGGCGGAGGTTGCAGTTAGCCGAGATCACGGTACTGCGCTCCAGCATGGGTGGCATAGCAAGACTCTGTCTCAAAAAACAAGCAAAAAAAAGTCACCTTCTCAATAAGACTTCCCCTGCTTATAATGGTGACCAACCTCTTCCACCAGTGTTCTGGATTCCATTATTCTAATCTGTTTTTTGTCTATAGCTTAATCCCTAATGCACCACATACTTTAGTTATGTGTACTCCTTGTTTTTGGAGACAGTCTTGCTCTGTTGCCCAGGCTGGAGTGCAGTGACATGATCTTGGCTCACTGCAACCTCTGCCTCCTGGGTTCAAGCAATTCTCCTGCCTCAGCCTCCTGAGTAGCTGGGATTACAGGTGCCCACCACCACACCCACCTAATTTTTTTTTTAAGCCTTCTGCAGCTTGTAACCCAGCTAATTTTTGTATTTTTAGTAGAGACAGGGTTTCGCCATGTTGCCCAGGCTGGTCTTGAACTCCTGAGTTCAGGACAATCTGCCCACCTCGGCCTCCCAATGTGCTAGGATTTACAGGCCTGAGCTGCTGAGCCTCACCTGTTTATTACTTCTTATATGTGAACTCCCATTAGAATGTCAGCTCTACAAGGGCAAGGCTTTGTTCACTGCTGTATCCTTATCACTTTAAACAGCACCTAGTAGGTGCTTAATAAATAGTCATTTAGAGCTTTGACCCAGCCCCAGCTCATGTAGGGGTGGCTGAGTCTTTTCCAGGTAGTGATGTAGGCGTTGGGGCAAGGGAAAAGTAGCTTCAAGTTTCCCAAAAGCCTAGGCCCTCAGACAAACCTGTGTAGAAGGGTCCTATCCCAAAACACGTATCCCTAGGAAATCCTGTTGTGCCCACTGTGGAAGCGCCTCCTGGGACTGTTCTTGGCCTTATGCCCATCCAGGTAGAAATGAAGGAAGGCAGCCTCGTGGGCAGGGCACAGATCTGGAGCATTCTAGACCCTGCTGCAAGCGGCGTTGTCTCAAAAGCAAATCACCTTTCATTTTGGGTGCCCATTCTCATTAGCTAATAGAATACAATAGGGCCAGCTGGGTGAGGTGGTTCATGTCTGTAATCCTAGCACTTTGGGAGGCTGAGGTGGGCACACTGCCTGAGGCCAGGCGAGACCAGCCTGGCAACATGGAGAAACCTAGCCCCGCGGGGTGGTACATGCCTATAATCCCAGCTACTCGGGAGGCTGAGGCAGGAGAATCGCTTGAATCCGGGAGGCAGAGGCCGCGGTGAGCTGAGATGGTGCCACTGCACTCCAGCAAAGATACTTGAATGCCAAGACTCTCTTCCCACTTGCTCCCAGGTCTTCACGGGTGCCTACCTCGCAGCTATTGACTTAGCGAACTTCATGTTCACCCTCTTCCCAGTCTGTGGATCCAGATTCAAGTCTAATTCAGGTGAGTACATGGCTGTCTGTTCCTGTCTCTATTCACTCATTCATTCATCAGCACACCGAACGCCTGCTCCCTAGGGCTCTCTGAGTGGGCGCCAGCCAGACGCAGAGAAAGGAGAGGGTCTCATTAGGGTTGCCAGCTTGGAGGTGTATGCACACTGTGGGCAGCCAGAGGGAGGGAAGGGCTGCTGGTGTCAAGGAAACTCAGGGCACTAGGGCTGGGACCACAGGCCGGGCATTTGGGCGCACAGAGCCTCATGGGCAAAGGCTAGGAGGAGGGTGGAGCAAGGCATGGGGATGAATAGTGATATCTCAGCGTGCAGGTTCGGGGTGGCCAGGTGAAGCTTCACAGCTGCTGGAAGTGGATGCCAGAAACAGGCACGGGGCACCACAGGCAGGGGCTGGAAATGACGGGGCCAGGATGAGTGGCCCGAGCGTCTGCAGCTGGGGCTTCTTGAGAAGGGTCAGCAGTGCGCTTGGACCCTTGTTTCAAAAGAAGGGATGAGAGGCTGGGCGCGGTGCCTCACACCTGTAATCTCAGCACTTTGGGAAGCTGAGGCAGCCAAAGGGAGGTCGGGAGTTTGAGACCAGCCTGGCATGCAGCTGTAATCCCAGCTACTTGGGAGGCTGAGCCAGGATAATCGCTTAAACCTGGGAACTGGAGATTGCGGTGAGCCAAGATAGCGCCACTGTAGTTCAACATGGGCGACAAGAGTGAACTCCTTCTCAAAAAAAAAAAAGAAAAAAAAGGGGATGAACTGCATGTGGTGGCTCATCCCTGTAATCCCAGCACTTTGGGAGGCTGAGGTGGGAAGATTGCTTGAGACCAAGAGTTTGAGACCAGCCTGGGCAACATAGCAAGACCCTAGCCTGCAAACATTTTAGAAAGTAGCTGGGCATGGTGGTACATGCCTATGGTCCCCGCTGGGGAGACTGAGGTGGGAGGATCACTTGAGCCCTGGAGGTGGAGGCTGCAGTGAGCTGTGATTGTGCCAATGCACTCCAGCCTGGGCAGCAGAGTGGGACCCTGTCTCAAAAATAAACAAATACGTTAGAGGGACTGCTGCATCAGTGTGTAGTGTAGCATGCCCTCAGCTGCTCAGTGCTGGCCACTAAGTTTTGTTAGAGTTTCCCAGGAGAGAGCTGGGCAGTGGTTTATACCTAGAATCCCAGCCACTCATGAGGCCGAGGTGGGAGATTGCTTGAGCCTAGGAGTTCAAGCCCAGCCTGGGTAATATAGTGAGACTTCATCTCTAAAAGAAAAAACAAATACAATTGCTCAGAGGAGGGTCTATCTTATATTTCAAGGAAATTTTCAGACACCATTCATGGCTGGGCACGGTGGCTCACGCCTGTGATCCCAGCACTTTGGGAGGCTGAGACGGGCAGATCACGAAGTCAGGAGTTCGAGACCAGCCTGGCCAACATAGTGAAACCCCGTCTCTACTAAAACTACAAAAAATTAGGCAGGCGTGGTGTCAGGCACCTGTAATCTCAGCTACTTGGAAGGCTGAGGCAGGAAAATCACTTCAAACCAGGAGGCAGAGGCTGCAGTGAGCAGAGATCGCGCCATTGCACTCCAGCCCGGGCAACAGGGCGAGACTCCGTCTCAAACACCGACAACAACAACAAAGAAACAAAGGCCTCGCTCACTGCTGTTTATCCCGTTCACAGTTCCTGCTGCTGCCATCACCGATTCGCTGGTTGATGCTCTTACCACGCTTGAGCTTGTACCAGCTCTGCTCTGCAGAGACTGTAGAAACCACCAGGGATGGGGCGTTATGCTTAGGAGCGCTAGTCCCGATGAGGCACTGCTGTCTGCATGCAGATACTTACCATAGAAGATAATGTCATCTCTCATCGCTGCCTAAGGAAGGAGAACAGCACCAGTTACGGGGGCAGGGGTGTGCCTCGGTGGTGGAGAGGAAAGTCTCCTTGAAGAGGTGGCACAGCTACAGGGCCCCGAAGGGTGGGGAGGAGCTGGCCTGCAGAATAACGTGGGACCCTGCTTTGGCGTCATGTGGGGAGTTGACACCAGTTCTTCCCATGCAGCTATCTGACAAGTTCTAGGTCCCAGGAGCCACATGGGAGTTTGGTGTCTGTTGCAGATTGGGAAGCCCGAGAGAGGAACAGGAGGCGGCAGCTTGGGGCCGGCGTGTTTGCCCTGGCCCTGCCGCTGAGCCTGGGTCCATGCTGGGCCCTCTGGGTTGCTGTCCCGAAGGATTCAGCCACCATCCGGGGGCCGCAGCGGAGGCTGCTGGCGAACCTGCTGCAGGTGAGGCTGAGCCACTGCGGGGAGGACTCGTGGTACTGCATGTCCTGCCAAATGCCCAGGGTGGGATGAGGCGGGAGCCGGGGCAGTAGGGTTAAGCCTTCCATTGTTGGAAGAAACCTAAAAGCAGGAAAGGACCCCTGAGCTTTGGCTGTTTCTTGGGGCGCATGGGCAGACTTCACAGAGTGCTGATGGCGGATCACCTGTTCTTGCAGGAAAACCCTGAGATTCTTGGCTACCTTCTGGGTGGCATTGCTGCCTTCGGCTCCTGGGCTTCTCGGATCCCCCCTCTCTCCAGAATTGTGAGGCTGGGGGTGGGCCTGGGACCGTGGGTCACATGGCAGGTCTCAGGGCATCTGGGAGCATCCTGAGAGGGCCAGGTCATGGGGCGGGGGTGTGGCGTCACCATGGGGCCATGCACGTGGACTCAGATTTTTCTCAAGAGCATTAGTGTGTATGACAGCAAGTAGGGGGTGTGTGTGGAGAGTGGGCAGCCAACTTGGGGCGTTCTGAGGACTGCGGGAGCCTCCCGGGGAAAGCCCAGGTGTACTTTCCCATTTTCTACAGCAAATGAAAAGCAAGCTCTGAGGAAAAGTCCCCTAAACTGGATAAACCCAGGAGAGAATGAAATTTGAGAGACTACAGGAGTCAGCTATGAGGTTCTGTGTAGATCAAGAGTGTCTTACTGGCAGGCATTCTTCAGGCACCCGCGTGAGGGAGGCCCTGTGTTGACCAGTCCTGGGGGGTAAGATGTGAGCAGGGCCGAGCGCTCGCCCACTGGAGCTCACGGTCTCATGGAAGACACAGGAATGTGAAGCAGCATCTCCTAATGGTTGAAGAAAGATAGGAACGAATGTTTGGGCCCGGGCGCAGTGGCTCACACTTGTAATCCCAGCACTTTGGGAGGCTGAGGCAGGTGGATCACGAGGTCAAGAGTTCGAGACCAACTTGGCCAACACAGTGAAACCCCGTCTCTACTAAAAATACAAAAATTAGCTGGTCATGGTGGCAGACACCTGTAGTCCCAGCTACTCAGGAGGCTGAGGCAGGAGAATCGCTTGAACCCAGGAGGCGGAGGTTGCAGTGAACCGAGATTGTGCCACTGCACTCCAGCCTGGGCGACAGAGCTAGACTCCATCTCAAAAAAAGAAAAGAAAAAAAGAAACATTTGAGATTTCAGAAGAGAGAGAGGAGAGAGAAGACTCCTATGCTCTTCAAATGAGCAAGGCTGAAAGCCACGCTGCCAGGCGGTGGGGTAGTGGGGAGGTGTCGTGTTGGCTCAGAAGCGAAGGGAACGTGAATTTCAGGACACAGGCTAGGGAAAGGCCATCGTCAGAGGAGAGCACACAGGAAAAGCCCCCACGCGTGAAAGCGCCTGAGAAACAGCAAGACTGGACGTGTGACAGCCACTCTGCCAAGTGTCCTGTGCAGATGACTCTGAGACAACTGCTCCTGTCTCACTGATTAAACAGTGGCCAAATCCAACCCCATGGCATGCCATAGGCCCATTTCATCTAAAAAGAATCAGCCGGTGCGGGGCTCCTGCCTGTAATCCCAGCACTTTGGGAGGCCTAGGCGGGTGGATCATTTGAGGTCAGGAGTTCAAGATCAGCCTGGCCAACATGGCAAAACCCACATCTCTACTAAAAATACAAAAATTATCCAGGCATTGTGGCGGGTGCCCGTAATCCCAGCTACTCGGGAGGCTGAGGCAGGCGAATCACTGGAACCTGGGAGGTGGTGGTTGCAGTGAGCCGAGATCGCGCCACTGCACTCCAGCGCAGGTGACAGAGCAATAATCCATGTCAGAAAAAAAAAAAAAAATTACTTGCCCAAGAGTGTCCTGATTAGCGTTCGGGGATGGAGCATTGTTAGTGGTTGTTCGTGAAGTCAGTGAAGCTGAAGTCTGTGCTGTGACTGCCACATGGGCCTCATCAGCAGGTGTCCTGTGTTTAGATTAATGGAGAGGAGAGTGGTGACCACTGGTGGTCTAGGAGGACAAATGTCCAAAGCATACCACTCTCCCTCCTGTTCTCCCAGCGTCAGGTGCCGGGGCACTGAGATGGTGAGGACCCCGCCCAGCTCTCAGGAGCCCTGAGTCATGATCAATAAAAGGTAGTCTGCTAGAGGGATGTGTTAGGGCCCAGAAGAGGGAGTTGCTTGCTCTCCTTAGGATGGAGTTGGTAAGGGAAGGTGTCCCAAGGTTAAGTTCAAGCCAGGTCCTGAGGGATGAGTAGGAGTCTGACAGGCAGAAGCAGCAACTTGAGCAAAAACTGGAAATGTAGCAGAAGCATTGCCCTGGGGGACTGGCTGTGCGCAGAGGGCTTGCCCGAAACCTGCTGTGCCACTGAGGGACCTGGGTCTTGTGATCTGGTGCTCCTCCCTGCCCAGCCCCTTCCTCTCTCTGTGCAGTGCCGGGGAAAGACATTTCCCTCCATCCACCTGTGGGCCCGGCTCCTGTCGGCCCTGGCTGGCCTCCTCTATGCCTCAGCCATTGTGGCCCACGACCGGCAGCCTGAGTACCTGCTGCGAGCTACACCCTGGTTCCTGACCTCCCTGGGCCGCGCTGCGCTGGACCTCGCTGTATCCACCCAGGCCTGGGAAGCTCCCTGCCTGCAGCCAGAGGAGGCCTGTGTCTCCACCGCTACCTGCCCCTGCCCCACTCTCCTTTTCTCTTGCTAGATGGAATTCTCCCAGCAGCCAAGGAGTGGTTTGAAGGTTGGGGCAGGCAGGCTGGGTGTGGTGGCTCACACCTGTAATCCCAGCACTTTGGGAGGCTGAGGCATGTGGATCCCCTGAGGTCGGGAGTTCGAGACCAGCCTGACCAACATGGAGAAACCCCCCCCCTC